CTGGGGAACGAGGTGATTGGGATTGTGAAGTCGGATTTTGGGGGTGATTAATCATTTTGTGGTTGCTGTGGTTCTTTCCATTGCGAGGGTTAGGAAGTCTAGTAGCTCAGGCTCGAGTCAGGTACTTAAATTAAAGCTTTGGACGTATTTTTAAAGGATTGTTATTATTATTATGAAATTTTATATGGGAAACTATTTTTTGATTTTGTGAAGAAGCTCATGTGAATTTTCGAATCAGGGGCTTGGATTTGTGCCTGTGGCTTGGTTAGTGACATGATTCTCGTCAATTTAAGTGTATGACATTGTCTTCTTTTGTAGAATTGTAAGTTTTGTGTTATTATAATTTTAGGGGCAAATATGTGCATAATGTAGCTAGGGGGTCAATTAGAAATATGTGTGCATATGTTGGTTCTATTTTTATATATTTGGTTTATTTATTGTCCTTTCTCTATATATATGTGTGCATATGTTGGTGTCTTTCAATGAGGAGGACGAAATAATCAGTCTTTTAATTTTGCAAAACTAAAGGCGGTTCAAGTTTAAATTAGTAAATCAATAATAGACTTGGAGTTTGTTCTTGGTAAACTATTGTGCAAAGTTCAAGGAGCTTGGTGAACTTAAGCGTGAACTGAAGGCGGGCATGGTGATACTTTAACTTCTAAATAATAATTAAATTCTCTGTTTTTTAAATCCTCTCTCTCTCTCTCTCTCTCTCTCTCTCTCTCTCTCTTGAATTCTCTGTATTTTTTAAATTTTTACTTAGATTATTTTGTTATAATGTTTAGGTTCGTGAAAAGAAATGCCTCGTCATTGATCCGAAGCTCGCGGGTTCGTTCTCACTATTGATTCAGACCTAACTCCTCAATGTGTGTCAATTGTATTGTTTAGTTTTTTTAGCTTTAGGTCTAATATTAATTACTCAAAGGACTTGATTGTTTGACAATAGAAAAAAGAGAAATCATCATTAGTATCTATGTTTTCCTGTTATTGATTCAGATTGGGATTTTTTATGTTGAAAAGGGTTTGCATAAGAATTAACCGAAATAATTTCCTAGTTAAGGTACCTACAAGGCTACAAGCAATGGCATTGTTATTCACTTTTTATGGAAAATTGGCATGTAGGTAGTTTAATCTATATAGAAAATCTATGTTTACAATTATCCCTTTATTGGAGCACGGTGCTTTGTTTTTATGCATGAAGTTGGTTCCAAGGAGAGGAATCAAAGACCAAATAAGTGTGACATTTGCTTGCAGTTTTACATTCCGTGAAAATAAGCTTTTGCTCTAAATTTAGAGTTACATCAGGAGTTTATTGGTGTTTTGGCTCTGAAAATTATTTGCATTGATCCTCAAGCATATGTGATGTTTTGGCTCTGAAAATTATATGCATTGGTGAGTCACAAAATTTGATGCCTAAAGATTTTTGCAGAACCCATGTTTTTGGGGAAAGCAAGTAAATTGGAAACAAGCCAGAACTCTCCTTTTGGTGTCTGATTTCATGATGACCAGCTATTCAACAGAAGTACAAAACATTCAGATGAAATTGTAGACTGATTTTTAGGGTACCTTTGGATGACAGGCCAGAGAAACTTGCAACTATTTCCTATTGGAGCTTACCTTGTGTTCTTCGGTTTGTTCCTCGTCATATACACCTATAATTATGTGCTCGAGTTTTTTTTAATTGCAAAACCCTCCTGAGTTAATGTGATTGAAATTATGGTGTTTTTTTGGTTGAGAATTTTGGGATGTTTGATTTATTTCAAATTATGCTATTGCTTTGAGATAATTAATTTTGTAATTGAATTCAGATTCTTGTTTGGTTGTATGTATTTGTGATGTTGGCTGCTGTCACATGCGTAATGGAGCAGTGCGCAAATTCTACGACCATGAGGAAAGCATGGAATTGAAACTTCACATTCTGCGTGTGGCTGCTCCAGTCTCAGTAGATTATCTAGAGCTGCACCCGTAACTCCAATACGAAATTGATAAAGTGGAAAAATTCAAGTATTAGGATTTGGAAGGATTTCCTGATATAAACTATATTGGTTTCTATTTTTTCTTTCTATATGTTTGAATTTATTTTCTTTGTTTCTAGTCTTTATTATGCCCAGGTTCTCGTCTTTGGTCCAGATCATGAATTTTATGGTTTTCATTTTAATTCTATCCAGTACTGTCAAGCCCTGCAACTGTCATTATGAAATATCCAAACTTGTTTGTATTGTTTATTCTGCCTCTTTACATCTTCTTTGATTTATGAAAGCTCATCCGCTATCCACAATGTTCTTAGCCTAGAATATTTGCAGTTATTGCACCACGTTACACGGCTGATGTCAAGTTGATAGCTTGTCATGAAATTTATCAAGTATTTTTGTATAACCTCTTGTCCAATACCAAACCTCATCCTGATGAGAAAACACTATGCTGATAATTAGATGAAGATTCTCAGTTTAATTTTTTGTTTTCATTGCAGTTGTAGAAATTGATGTGTAATGCATGATACATACGTAGGTTATGAGGCATGCTTACTATCTTAGTATATGCTTTTCAATGAGGAACAAGTTGGATAATTTTGTATTCATTCTGTCTAACTAATTCATTATGTACTTATGTCTATTGTGTAGAACTGTGATACTTATGTTGCGTGAACTTGCAGGTTCTTAGAAATAAGCCAGATTATCGTCGGATATCACAAGCAGGGGATGAGAGGATAGAACAATGTAAAAAGATTGTAAATATATATCCTTTCGTTTCAATTGTAAATAAATATGTTAACAATTTATGTATCGCATCCATTCAATACCGAGCTTTGGCTGATAATTTATGTATCTGTAAAAGTTTGTAAACAATTTATGTATGAATGTATTATTTGAATATAATGGGATTTGATATTGCAATATAATTAGATTGTGTTGGATATGAATATAATTTTTTTTTGTTCAATATTGTGTACATGCACTAAAAGTAGATTCTGCAAAAAAAAAAAAAACTACTGTAGCATAGCATTCTAGACGGAAATTCCGTCTAGGATGCTCAAAATCCGTCTAGGATACTTTGTTTTTTTTTAAAAAAATTAAAAAACATTTTGGGGGGAAATTTCCGTCTAGGATGACTATTCTAGACGGAAATTTCCGTCTAGGATACCCATCCTAGACGGAAAATAAATCACTCGTTAAACAGAAACAGAAAATAAATCACTCGTTAGTCGACTCATAGTCGACTAACGGTGGTTAAACAGAAACAGAAAATAAATCACTCGTTAGTCGACTCACAGTCGACTAGGGTCATCAGTCGACTCACGGTCGACTGGGATCACCAGTCGACTCACGGTCGACCGAAAGAAGAACAAAACTGAAACCCGACAGTCGACTCACAGTCGACTGGGGTCATCAGTCGACTCACATTCGACTAGGGGCATCGGTCGACTCACAGTCGACTGAACAGAGGGGTTTTCCCTGTTCGTGCATGCGGTGTTTATTTGTAAAAATTCATCTAAAAATCAAATTCATCAAACCCAAACAATGTACTATCAATTCTAAACATATGAGACAGTGTAAAATTTGTATAAAACATGAAAAACGAAATCTTGCATGTTAGATCTAACATTTAATCCCTAAACATGTATGAGAGCATTTAATCAATATGAAAACTCGTTTTTAAATAAATTCCCAGATCTAGGTTTCATCAAAGATTCGCTGGTGAGGATTTAGAGATCTGAAACACATGATTTTTAGCATCTACACTAGTAAGAACATCGATTTGTACTTGAAAATAATTCTTAGGCTCAATAAATCTCATGAAAAACGTTTAAAACTCTTAAAAACATGGGAGAAGGATTGGGTGAGATATTACACGCCTCTGGTGTGCTGAAGAACGATTCTCTTCGCTGCAAACCACAAGAAGCTGCTGAAATTCCCCGAAAATCTCCCAAAAACGCCCAAAATCCAAAAGCTAGGGTTTAAGAGGGGAAAGGGGGCTAGGGTTTCTGGGGAGAACTGATGAAAGGGGCCTCTCTTGGGTAGAATGAGGTAAATACCAATAGTTAAACCCGACCCGAAAACCCAAACAGACCCGAACTGCAAAAACCAGGAAAACATCCGTCAGTCGACTGACTCAGGGTCGACCGAACCTATCAGTCGACTCACAGTCGACTTAACAGACTCCAAATCTTTCTGCACATGTTTTGCAAATTTGCAAAATTCAACCTCAAACCTGATGCATATATACATTCACCTAAACTCAAAACACTAGTTATCATGCACAACCATGACATAAAGACATTTATCATAAATAAATATTATTTTTTACTAATAAACACATAAACATATATCAATTATCAAAATGTACAGGGTTTTACACAATTTTAAGGGCTATAACACATAGTTTTTGTCCATATTCGGTTGTTTCGATCCAATAACAATTAAGAATTTTTCCTTAAAATTCACTATTTTTATTGTTTATAATCTACAATATTGTCTATTTTCATTGGTTTCAAGTTTCAACCTAGTGACAAATAATTGTCATACTTCAAAATTATTCATGATTATATTACCCGTATCATTTTCATATGTTTCAACCCAATAACGAACAGTTGATGTATTTCAAAATCTCAACTTCTATGGGTTATAATCCGCATTCTTTTTCCTCTGAAAACTCAAAATTTGTATGGTACATATAGCCCACATTTTAATCCATTTTCATCTCTTTTAACTCAATGGTAAGTAATTGTCTTCAGACTATATAATCCACTATTTTATTTTATCCATTTTCATCTGTTTTATATTAAGAATTTTTTCCCCCATTTTCGTTTCAAGTAAAAAACAATTAACTCTTCCTTCTTCAAAGTTCACGATTATTAATAGCCTATAACTCCTAAAGTTGGAATTATGGTCTCATTCGTCGCAAGCTCCTGCTCTTTACTCCTTACAATTTAGTTTATAGACAGTAATTCATAACTATATGCAACTTCACAAGATTACATAATATTAACTATAAACAGCACAAAACGAACAATAACATGCAAAATATAACACTAGTCTTTACGGCAATCACCATGAAACAAGAGCCTACCCACTATTTAATACAGAAACCGGAGTTCCCATTCCAACAACTCGGATGCCACAATCAGCTGTTTTTATAGACACGGGACTCATTTATTTGGTATACAACAGCATACAATTACTACTTACTCCTTTCGAACAGAAGAAGAAACACCAAAAAAAGATTGGAAAATAGTAATTACACGGACACAACCCCTCTCCTTTGAGATAACAGCTCTCAAGTGCTTCCAAAACGTGATGATAATAGAAGAAAGCACTTGGCTACTGCCAAAAACATGGAGGGAAAATGATGTAACACGATTAAATGATTCGATTCACCAACAACACGACTGAATAGGGAAGGCTTTTTTCACTTGTTTCTTCTCACAAAGACTGATCTCGGGCTTGGAACAGGCTGTGCTTGATCATTGATGGTTGAGTTTACTTCATTCTTAGAACCTGGCACGAGCTGCATATCAACGGGAAGTGTTAACAATTTTACCAAAGTAGCGAACCTAAATTCTCAGGCCAAGGTACAAAATAATTGCAGAGTGAAGATAAAAAACTATATATAACACGAGTATTGATGAACGTGGGATTTAGGTTATAAGCCTGCATACCGAAGCAAGATATCCATATTGCATTCAGGATCAACAGCAACTAAACAGTTATATTATTCAAATCAGCCTAAACTGTCAGACTGTCATGCGATGTCAAGCTACAACAGCAAACTATTAAACTATATCTTCCAGTAGGTGTTTCTGCCAGCTTTCACATGCATAGAATGTTAAGTCACCGCAATAAGAAGCCCCGATAAAATGGCCACTTAATAGGAAATAGATGTTCTAAATAACACAAAAAATCTCATATAGTTTCCTTCACATAAAAATCCTCAAATTTGTCATTATTAGTATATTCAATTCTGAAGATATAAAACTAACGGAATATTTAGCAAGTAGAATTGAATGTAGAAATATTTTCTGACTATTGCTTTTATGGAAAAGATGACATCGTGTTATCATAGTTGCATCAAACAAAATATTGATTAACCTGAACAAAGTTGATCTCAGATTTGTAGCATGGTGCTGAAACAGGAAAGTTTTGCATGAAAAACTTAAGTGTGTGCATGCTGCGCGCGCACTGAAAGGGAGTGTTCCATGTAACTTTTTAGCCAACTCACACCATTTACCATCTACTGGGATGATCTATACCATACATCATGATTTTACTCCTTGAAATGATTGTAAAAAGGTCATGTGATTTTACCTTTTTTTTTACCATCCCTCAAGTGGTCTCTTTTTATCTTATATTAAAACCCATAAAACCATACATTTTGCGACATGTTCATACATGGTTGAAAGGGATAAAAATTGTATGACTGGAGACTGTGATGAATGGCAAGAATCATCGATCAAGCCTCCCATGAGATTTTACCAAAGGGGTCACCTAAGAACACCTTGTATCAAGGTTTTAAAAAGTGGGGGAAAATGCCAGTTAAGCAGATTTTGAAGCGGAAGCGGGCCTGGGCCACTTCGCTTTTGCCACTTTTAGTGGTTATAAGCATTCTTAGCCCAATTTGCTCTAAAGAGTGCTTTAAAGTTCTCTTAAAAACGCTAAAAAGCGTTGAAAGTGGTTTACCAACACTTTTAACGAAAGTAAATTTTGGTCGTTTGGGCTTGCATTTTTTGTACTCAATCCGTTCTTATAACTTAGACCTCCCCTTTCTTTTTCCCTACCCTTCGTCATCCTCCCATTTACTACCGAACCCAAAAAACCCTAGAGCCCAAAATCTCACCTCCTCCGTCCACCGATTCGTCTACCTATTCTCCTCCATCTACCGCCTCGACGAAGCTCAACTCCTCCACTGCCACCATCAACCATAGCCTCCAGCACCTCAATGAAGCTCAGTTCTTTGACAAAGCTCCAGCAACTTCTTCTTCTGTTGCCTTCAGCCCTTGACCACAACAGCTCCTTGAGGAAGATCCTCCACTGCCAATTCTCTCAACTACAGCCCTCTTCATTGCTTCCAGCAGCACTTTCATGGAGTTCCTCTACCTCCACAATTCCCTCAATTGGAATGCTTTTTTACACAATGCTTTTTCATTTTGAACAGTATAAACCCCAAAAAGCCTAAGTGGTGACTGGTGACTCCCCGCTTCGCTCCGCTTTCTGCTTTTCACTATCCACAACCTTGCCTATATATGTATATGGACACATAGATCTATTGCCAATAGATTTGCTTTTCTATGTCAAGTCCAAAATTTCCATCATATATTGTGCTAACATCAAACCAGATTGCCCATGCCTATATGATGTCCATGTCAGAGATCCATACTGAGATTCTGTACAGGTACTAACTGAAAATTCTTTTGGGTTGTCCAATGAGCTAAGTATCTACCTTATGGAATTATAGAGAATAGGGCTCCAACAACAGGCATGAAAGTCAGTTTTTTCAAGCTGGAATGTCCATGATGAAAGTGCTGGATTTCCCCTTTTTCTCTTCATTCTGTCTTTTTTTAACTCCTGGATGATCCTCGTTAAAGAAAGCAAGGTTTTGTGTCCTTTCAAGGGTGAACAGTATTAAAACATTCCATTTCGATCTAGGGTTTTTGGTTTCTATGTAGGTTTTTTTTTATATTAGTCCCTTAAATCACTGCCATTTTGATATTAGCCCCCCAAGTCTTCATATTTAAATATTAGTCCCCCAAATTGCATAAGTATATTGATATTAGTCCCTTTGTTATTATTTATGTACAAAAGGCTCAACCATGGTAAGGTTAAGACTAACCATGGATGAGAAATTAACAAAATACCCACCCCCTTTAACACTCCACATAAACTTATATTTCCCTCTCTCTTCCAATTCCGGTGCCCAACTGTAGAAAGAGATTTTTTGCCATAATTGTGATCTCGCCCCACTAATCCCCCAAATTCGATCCAAAATCCAATCCATTCGTTCACTGAAGATTGAAGACAAAGATCTGCACAAGATTGAAGATGAAAATCCGCACGTGTTGATCCTTCCAAGTTAATTGTGGAGCTCAGCCCCATGGAAATCCACACATTTGTTATTAGCTTTGGTTACATAATGCTAAGTCGATGAGCCCTAATATATTGTACATATTTGACTTGTATGTATGTTTACATTCTCCTTGAACTTGCAATAAAAATGTTTCGTCTATGATGTCCTGAAATTATGTTCAAGTTTTTTTATCACTGCCAACAAAAGGCCATATTGTTGGTCAGTGTTGGAATGATCAAACGTGGGGAAGTTAGTAATGGAGAATTTTGCATTCAGTTCTGTAACTAGAAAAGAAATAAAAGAATAAAGAGAAAGCATGCAATTAGCTAGCTATTCGACTTACAGATAAATGTGATCTTTGAAAACAAGTAGGACTATAATGTGAAGGTAGTAAGACAGTGTCATTGTTTTCACTGTAATTAACCATTGGAGAATAAAGGCTGAAATGGGTTTGGGCCTATTAGGTCCACGTGGTTTGGGTATTGGGTCTGGGAGTATAATTGTCCTTACAAGTAAAAAGTTAACTTTAACAGAATATTCCCCTTCATTTATAACCCACTTAACCACAAGGACTAATATCAACACACTTATGCAATTTGGAAGACTAATATCAAAATATGAAGATTTGAGGGACTAATATCAAAATAATAGTGATTTAAGGGACTAACATCGAAAAAAAAACCTTTCTCAGTATTATAGTAGAGATGACTGCTATAGATCTGAAAATGAGTCATACACCAGAAGTTAAAATAAATCAGTAACAAAATGCCATCTTTTATTTTAGGCCACAAACATTTCCTTACTATATAAAAGTAAACATAGAATAATTGCATATAATTCGTCATAATTGCATATAATTCGTCCTCTCTAGGAAAAGGACAATGTTTAGTAAGCGCTCGGCGCCGTCCAGTCCAAGTGCCTAGGCTACACTGATTTCTTTTTTCATTTAACTAGAGGTGGAGGAAAATTTTTTCAAGATTGGAGAAGGTGAAGGTAGAGGAGTCAGGAAGAGGAGGCAAGGGAGGTATGAGGACGTGAAGGCGGCAACTGAGGAAAAATCAGACCATGACCAAAGCTTTGCAATCTGCATAATGATTAATGACCCATGTTGGCCTAGACACACCCAAGACCTAGGTGGGAAGCCTAAGTACTGCCTAGGTCTAGGGGAGACCCTAGACCATTTTTTTTAAACTATGGAAAAGGGTGTCACCTCTCTTCAAAGCAACTAGATTTTGAAATATAGTAGTTTTGTGCATGCTCAGTCACTTCATGGAAACAAGGATTTTGAGTTTTAAAAATAATATATCCTAGCTATCCAATACCACCAATGCATCACATCTTCATCTCTGAGTAATTGACATGACAACTTTCATAAACATCCAAAGTAAAAGGCAATGAATGTAGATTATTTTTATCTAGTTCATGGTTCATCTTCTACAAGAAGCGCAAAACAGACGAATTAACAGTAATAATTCACATTACCAACCTCATAACTTGGAGACAAAGATGCAAATAGTGTTGAAATTCCAAGTACTGCACATTTCCGAGCGATACATGTTTGTGAGCCAGAGCCAAAAGAAAGAGAATCTGTGTTGTTTGGTTCTGAGATCCCATGTTTTGCAGGCACTGCTGAAGTTGGGGAGGAAAACTTACTAAATACAAACTAAATATGCACATTGGAAAAAAAGAAAAAATGTTCTATTTGCAGTGTTAACAAATAAGAAACAAGGCCATATATAGAAACAGAGGCTGAAACAACCGATAGCATTTAACTTAATTAATGGCAGAAAACAAAAAAAGCATCTCTGTTTTGCTAAATCTCTATAGATCGTAATCAACGAGTTACCCTAACCAGATAAAGAATAAAAAAAGCTGCAGAACGAGCAATTTATCAGCTTTAACTCTCGACATTCAACTACATAACAAAAAATTATAGCATTTTCTTAATAGGACTGCCTGTCAAGACTGGACAGTATGTATCTCTGTATTTCTGATCCATAGCTTTCCTTGCTAGGAATTTAGCAGCAATAAAAAGATGGTTGATTCGGTCCAATCCCTTGCGTAGTTTTTTGAAATTGAAGATCAAAAGCAAACCTTGTTTAAAAGGTTGATTATGACTTATACTTTCTAAATTGTGGTGTCAACAGCAGTAAAATGAGCATTTTGCTCATGAAAATTAGCGCAGTGGACTGTTTTAACTTGCTCCAAAGAAATTCTAGTTTTGTTTGACGGTCCAGACATCCAACTGAAAGGCTGTAAGGTGGAAACATCAAATCTGTGGTTTTGCATGCCTAAGATCAGAACCAAAACATTAGAATTCGAGTATAAATTATTGATATTAGATGTAGATCCATTTTCTTGGTGGGTTCAAATATTAGTTACAACTACTGTACGCATAGACCACACAGTCTACACCATACCTAGATCTCCTCCGCTTCTTACACAACTAATAAATATGATATTGCGTTAAGCCATTAACTACTATCCAATCATTAGATGGATATATGTTACATGATACATCTATATCAAAATGAGCATTAGATCTTACTGACTTACCAGTAATAAGCATTGACTTGTTATCAATCTGTTCATATCTAAATAAAGTTGACATTGTTCTTTGGTTGTTGCAGGGGATTCAAATCTATTAATACGGTCTGATAAGAATATGGATCCAAGTCTTGACATAGTAGGTTAGAACTGATTTCACAATTTAAATGGAATCTGCAGTGGTATCTTGTTAGACCAGACTCACAGTCACAGTAATATTTGTGTCCAGGGATTTTACTACAAAAACTGAAACACTAATAGAAGCATAGGTGATGAAGAGCCACAACTCATAAAATTCCCTATTGGGCCTTGAACCAAAATCTAAATGGCTTCCATAAATCATATTTAGATCTATATTCTACCAACTTTTATGTTAAAAAAAATGACTCATAATAACAATAAACGTATGTAGCATATGACTAATTAACTGAAGCCATATTCTGCTACACTTAATGATTTCTCATTATTAAACAATATATACATGTTGCCCAACAAAATGGATTAATCTGAGAAATGATGAACCTAAAACAGTATTCATGTAAACTTTAATTTTACAAAAAATAAGAAGATTTCCAAGATCTCTTTTGCTATATGAAAATATAGCAAAAAAGGACAGGGCTGGAGACTGCCACATGATCTGAATTCTGGTCCTAGATGATGATGATGTCCATCTTGATGCTGGAGCAAAATAGTCAAAATTTGAACATAAATCCTCTAGAATTAGCTTTCTTCCCAGAATCTCATGAAAGAATATCAACTATTTGTCGTATCAAGCCAGGAAAGTCTGTGAATAGAACTATTCTTACAAGTAAACATAGGTAAACTTCACAAAGCCCCCAAAACTTTCAGGGGTTGAATTTTGTAAATTCCACAAACTCCCTTGAACTATGGGTATTCTAGAGGAAATATTTTTTCCTAGTAAATTATACAAACCCCCAAAACAGAGTTAAAGGTGGAATTGTTTTGTTTTCCCCCTTTTTGGGTATTCTATCAAGACGAAAAAAAAAAATCTGCGCTTAGTTCTCTTCAAGATAGGGTCAAAATCAAATACATCTATCTGATCAAAATCCAACACCGCAACATCTATCCTTATCAAAAATTACAGAAAAACAATAAAGGAATCAAGACCTGTACCCTAATATCGGCCTTCAATATTTTCCTAGTAACAAATTATGAGATTGTCTGTATATTTTCTCTCATAACCCTAATACACAGGAAAGCTTATCCACCGTTTACAGTACAAAAAGGGGGGAAAAAATTCCAGTTCCCGATCGGTGATGAATCGTGTCCACTCACTATTAAGTATTACCTGATTAACTAATTATTTTTTCTCAATCACCAATCGTTCACTGATTGATGATGAATTAATCTCAAACCTCCTTAACAAATACAAGTAATCCCTAACCCTAGGCCTCGTTTCATCATTAAACTTTACTGTGAATAAGATCAAAACCTGTGAGATCGCAAGAGGAACCACAACCGGCGACGATCCTAGCTCGAATCCTGCTCCCCCTCGCCCAGATCCTCACCAACCTCGCGAGCTTCGTCAGCAGAAAAAGAGTGATCGAGATGAGAGAAATCCACAACATGAAATTGGTTCCACGCGCAAAATAATCCCTCAGCGAGAAGCAGACGCCGCCGCCGGAGAAAGAGGCGGCGG